CCAGCACCGGCACCGGGCCTGGTTTGCACCCTGCCCGGCCCTGGCGGGATCTGAGTTTGCAGCGTTGGCTTTGGAGTCAGGCCCGGCATGGACCCAGCCTTCTCACCTGTAACGGGGCTGCGGTGGGAGCTCTGGGAGAGGGTGCCAGGCCCGTGGGGAGCGTCACACCAGGTGGCTCGAGAGGAGGAACCCAGAAGCCTGCTTGTCTGCGGCAGTCACTTCCGGCAGCCCTGGCCCCAGGGGTACTCACTCGTCCACGGTGAAGCCCACCAGGCGCCGGTAGAGGCCCTTGGCCCGCTGCTCCTCCAGGGCCTCGCGCCCCAGGAAGGGGATGGCAGATTTGAGCTTGCAGGTGAAGGCCAAACCCGCTTCCAGGGGGCTGTCATCGGGCCGCAGGTCGGCGTGCCAGTGCCGGTAGCCTGGGTAGGGAGACGACGGGGTCAGCGCCAGCAGAGGCAGACACACGCCCTTTGCAAGACGCACGTGGGCGCCTGCCCCAGCCCACATGCCCACCTTAGAAACTCCGTGACCTGGGCCTCCCGGGGCGGGGGCCATCCTCGATCGTAGTAGGTCCCCTGGACGAGCCCCCTTCAGCACTGCGGCACCTGTGCCGTCAGGCTGGGGGCCCTGGGGAGGGGGCTGTGAAGGGGCAGCACTGAGGGCCCCTTCCCGCTCCGATGTTCTCCAGTTCTCCCTAGGAAACTTGGCACTACATCCAAATCCAGCTCTGGCCCCCGCCCGCCCCTACCTGGGAGAACACCCCTCCCCTCAAGAGTGGTGGCGTCAAGAGATGCCAGCACCATCCCCGGGCCTGCATGGAGGACCCGGTCCGTGGACAGCAAAGGGGGTTTGGGGAGATGGCAAAGGTTGGGGGAAGGGGGAGCACAGTGAGGGTGGAAGGATCACGGGGCCAGAGGTGGGGGTAACAGACTCTCTGCCTCCAGTGAACGTGGCTCAGGCAGCCCACCGTGGTGTCCAAACCCTACACACACCTTTCTCGATGCTCAGGGAGTCGATGGCCCGGTACCCGGCATTGACGAGGCCGTGCTTGGCCCCTGCTGCCATCACAGCCTGGTACACGGGCAGGCAGGACGACCTCGGGATGTGCAGCTCCCAGCCCAGCTCCCCAACGAAGGACAGCCTCATGGCCCGGACCTGGGGGACAAGTCACAGCTTAGACGTGGGCCAGGGTCAGACGACTGAGGTCAAGGTCCAGCCACCACTTACTGGTGGACACTTCCTACCGTCACCATTATTAGCCCTGGGCCCTGGGCCCAGGCCATGGCCTCTGGCCCCAAGAAATGGGGGGTCTCGAGGATAGTCCTCAGGGGCACTCTGGAAATGTTTTTTTTTTGTTTGTTTAATAAGTTTATTGATTGACTGATTGTTTTTTTGGCTGCCTTGGGTCTTCGTTGCTGCGCACGAGCTTTCTCTTGTTGCAGTGAGTGGAGGCTACTCTTTGTTGTGGTGCGTGGGCTTCTCACTGTGGTGGCTTCTCTTGTTGAGGAGCACAGGCTCTAGGCGCGCGGGCTTCAGTAGTTGTGGAACGTGGGCTCAGTAGTTGTAGACTGCAGGCTGTGGAGCACAGTCTCAGTAGCTGAGGCGCATGGGCTTAGTTGTTTCGTGGCATGTGGGATCTGCCCGGACCAGGGCTCGAACCCACGTCCCCTGCATTGGCAGGCGGATTCTTAACCACTGCGCCACCAGGGAAGTCCCTGGGAATCTTTCAAAGGAAGGGGTGTCGTCGTTGGGGGTGGGGGAAAGTGGACATGTGGTTCCCGGGCCACAGCTGTTCTCCTAAGTGACTGTAGGAATGCCCTTGGGCCTCTGTAACCAATGACTACAAACCCGGGCACTTAAAACCACAGAAGTGTGCTGTCTCCCAGTTCTGGAGGCCCGAAGTCCAAAAGCAAGGTGCTGGCAGGTCCACGCTCCCTCTGGAGGCCGCAGGTGCTCCTGACTGCGCCATCCTGACCTCTGGCTCATTCTCCTCTGTGTCCGTGTCTCCCCGTCTCCATCAGGACACCTGTCGCTGGGATGAGCCCCACGCTAAGCCAGGATGGTCTCATCCTGAGATCCTTTGCCTTAATCACAACTGCAGAGACCCTATTTCCAAGGTCCCATTCCCAGGTCTGGGGTGGGGACATGGACGTCTCTTTCGGGGGCCACCGTTCAATCGCCGCAGTGACTTGGGCAAGCCTCTTGGCCTCCCTTTGGCCTCGATTTCCTTGTCTATAAGTGGCGTCAGGGGCCTGGCTTTGTCTGTCTTGGGAAGCCTGACTTTTCCTGCATGGCTGGTTTGGTGGCATGTCACTTACACATCCAGCACCTGGTGGCCGCTTCCAGTCTCCCGGCAAATACTTGAACCCTCAGCGTCCCCGTGTGCAAGGCCCAAGCATGGGACTGTCCGGCTCACAAAAGGGACAGGGAGGCTGCAGCAAGCCACAGAGCTCATGGAGACGGAGGACCTGATCCCATTACTGCTCTGAGCCCAAAGGGCTGCCCAGTGCAGCCCCTGCCAGGATAATATCTGAGCAGAAGGAGAGCGGGGGCCACTCTGCCGACCACGGAACCAGCGCCTTATAAATCTGACACTTCAACCACACCGCCACCGAGGGGCTGGATTCGGGAAGCTTTTGAAACAGCACAAATTTGCTCTGAGTTGCCATTTGTCCGGGACTCTCAAAATTGACACAGAAAATGTACTGGTGACATTTCGCTGCTCCCCTGCCTTGTCAACGGGCTTCTAATTTTAGACAGCCCACGGAGGAACTCAGGGCTCAAAGCCAATCTCATTTTGAACAGGAAAAAATCATTTTTAAAGCTCACCCATTCACGGCCCCAGGATCGCCGGTCTTATCAGACATACAGCCCCCCAGTTAAGTCAGGCTCTTGAATGAATTCACGGGTGGGATGGAGCTACCCTCAGCCCCTTCCCCAGCTCCCAGGAGCCCGGCGAGGCCAGGAAGCTGGCTGGTCTCCATCATACCCCAGCACACAGACGGGCTGAATTAATACTTCCTGAGTGAAGGGGGAAAACAGGCACAGATGGACAGACCTCTGCTTTCCGGCAAAGTGAGGGGAAGGGTTTGGGGATTCCTAGGTGACTTTCTAAGTTGCCAGCATCATTGGTTCTTGAGACATCTTGTGTTTTTTCCTCCACTGAAACAGTGGAGTTGGGGGAGGTCTCATTTCTTCTGAGAGAGGACACGTACTGAAGGGGAGGGCCGAAAATAAGAACATCTGGAACATGGGCTCAGGGTCAGCATGACCCACGGGCTGGCCTCTCCCAGCCTCAGTGCCCCCATCTGATAAATGGGGTGAGCATCAAGTTCATGGGAAGCTGGTGCCTGGTACACAGTCATCTGACAGTCAACGTGGGCTTGGATGGACTTTAGAAAGCAAGCCCCAAACTGAGGCAAACTCCCCTTCAAAACAGCCCCACACTGCTCTGGGAACCATGGGCAGTGGACGGGGCCACAGAATTGTGGAAGGCCATCAGGAAGGGCCTTAAAGCAGGTTTTGTTTAAACCCTTTTCAGACCCCAAAGACTCCCCCGATACTGTTAGAACCAACAAACCAAGTCGGCAAGGTTGCAGGATATAAAATCAACATGCAAAACTGGCTGCCTTTCTATACCCTTAACAATGGACAATCTAAACAGGGAATTAGAAAACTATCTGTTTACAATCACATCAAAAAAAATAAAATCCCTAGGAAGAAACCTAACTACGGTGGTGAAAGACTTGCACGCTGGGAACTATAAAACATTGCCTAAAGAGATGAAAGTTCTTTCATTACACAAATAAATGGAAAGACATCTCGTGTCCTCAAGATATCGATGCTACCCAAACAATCTACAGATTCAATGCAATCTCTATCAAAATCCCAGTGGCATTTTTTTTTGCAGAAATAGAAAAATTCACCCTAACAGTCATATGGGTGACCTCGAATAGCCAAACAATCTTGGAAAAGAACAAGGTTGAAGGACTCACCTCCTGATTTCAAAAGTTATTACAAAGCTACTACATCAAAACAGCATGGTACGGCATAAAATCAGACAAACAAATCAACGGAACAGAAAAGAGAGCCCAGAAATAAACCCTCATGTAAATGCCCCGTGACCCTTAACAAGGGATCCAAGACTGTTCCGTGGGGAAAGGACTGTCTCTTCAACAAATAGTGATGGAAAAACTGAACCTTATCTTACACCATATATAAACATTAACTCAAACTGGATTAAAGACCTAAATGTGAGACCTCAGGCTGTAAAACCCCTAGAAGGAAACACAGGGGAAAACTTCGTGACACTGGACTTGGCGGTGATTTCTCGAATGTGATACCAAAAGCACAGGCAACAAAAAGCAAAAATAATTAAATGGGAGTCCAGCAAATGTAAAAATTTCTGTGCATCAAAGGGCACAACCAACAGTGAGAAGGCAACCTACAGAATGGGAGAAAACATTTACAAATCATGTATCCGATAAAGGGTTAATATCCAGACTATATAAAGAACTCCTGCAACTCAACCAAAACAAAACAACCTGATTAAGAAACGAATTAAGAACGTGAATAGACATTTCACAAAGATGATATACAAATGGCCAACAAGCATATGAAAAGATGCGCAATGTCACTAAACATTAGGGAAATGTAAATGAAAACCACAATGAAATATGATTTCAAACCCATTAGCATGCCTCCTATTTAAAAGAAAACACAGAAAATAATCAGTGTTGGCGAGAATGTGAAGGAATTGGAACCCTTGGGCACAGTTGGGGGGAATGTAAAATAGTGTAACTGTTAGGAAAAACAGTATGGTGATTCCTCAAAAAATTAAAAATAGAACTACCATATGTCCAGCAATCCCACTTCTGGGTACATATGCAAAAGAACTGAAGGGTAGAGAAGGAGCTGGTCTGGTCATGTGCGTCCCGGGCAACAAGCATCCTGTTATCAGCAGACAAACTTAGCTCTGCAAGTAAACGCTGGAACAGGACCTCGTGTGAGGCCCTGCTGGGAGCAATGCCCTTTTCTGCTTGGCCCAGCTGGGGTGACCACTCAGGAATCAACAGGGCTTGGCCAGTGCCCATCTTTGCAGTGGCCAGTGTGCTTCTGGCCGGCTGGCCCACAAAGGAAGAAATTGCTTCTAAAGCCAGCAAGAGCCACCTGCCAGCTGGGCCCCCTGGGAGGCTCAGACTCCTGGGCTGTGGAACGGAGACCCTAGAGGACCCCTGAGTGAGAAGAGATCCTGCTGGGGTGGGGAGGCAGACCCGCCAAGCCCCAAACACCTGGGTGAATGTCATTACTTCTATTCCAAATTGGCTCAAGGACCCTCTCCTTTTGGAAGGTTCTGGGTTTCAGACCCCTCCACCAGGACATGTGGGGCCTTGTAGAAAGTTCTGCGGGATGCTACGGGTCCCCAAGGGTGAGAGGATTCTCCCCTCTGCCCATCACCTGTTTCATTCAGGCCACTAGGGTGGCAATGAGATGGTTAGCAGGGCGTGGTGTGGGGGAGTTCTCCCATCCTGAGGCCGAGCAGGGTCCCCATCAGCCTGGGCTGCAGCAGGCTTAAGGCTTATCCACCCCATAAGGATAAGGCTGGAATCCTGTACACGAGTCAAGAGATGCCTCCGAGCCCCAACTTGGGGCTGTGCACACAGTGCGTGGTCAGTAATGTCTGTGGTCCCACACGGGGTCACCTGCCCCAGACACAGATGGCCAGCCCAGCAAGATGAAGCTTCTAGCTACCCATTCCACAAACACCTGTGCTCAAACATCCCATGGGGCCCTGGCACGCCCGCCCCCAGGCTCTGGACCCTCCACAGTACTCAGGATGCTGCCTGGTCCTCCCGGCACTCACACCTGACGCAGGGCAGGTGAGGGCCAGCCACCCAGCAGCGCAGGCACCACAGTGGCCGAGAGCGTGGGCTTGGGTGCCACATACCTACTAGGTTTAAATATGAGTCACAAACGTTGCATCCCTGGCGACTGACATCCCTCTGAGTCTGCTTCTGCAAATCCTGGCTGATAATAGAGCTCATAGGGCCCATGGGAGCAGTCAACAAAACTGTCACTATAGAGCCCCAGGCAGGAGGCTGACTACTCGGAGAGGTGGGTGCCGCTGGCACGCCCATTTTACAGATAAGGAAACT